TATGATGAATTGACCCCAATTAAATATTAGGTTGATTGACATTGTAAAAGTTCGTGACAGTCTAATTGTTCACTCACAATATAGCAGTGTATTCATTTACAATAAGTAAGATTATTGTTAGATAGACTAACGGTTAAGCAGTCATATTTTATATATTCAACACATATATATGTATATTTTTAAATTTAAAAATCATATTTTAAAAAATAATATAAATAAAAGTAAAATACCACGTAGGCTCGTGAAAATTCTCACAACCTTAATTTTTTTAGAGAAATGTTACATTGCCAACTTAGTGTACAACTAGATTGACAACACAAATAAAAAACATTCATAAAAATAAAAATAAAAAATACACAAGTGAATGTTTCTACTTGTGTTGTCAACCTAGTTGTACACTAGGTTGGTTATGTATCATTTTTCTTTTCTTTCTTTTTAATGTACCCAATTCATAATTTAAAAACAAAATACAGTAAGATCCATACCCTAATTACAAATGTTGAGACAAAGTTAGGTTAAAAGCTCATTCTCTTGACTCCAATTAAAAATAGCTCATCATTTTAACTTAGGCCAAAAGAAATTCTATTTCACAAGCTCTATAAATTGTGCCACCGCCTCCATTAATCTTATCCTTCAAACCCCAAACCAATATTTCTTCATTTTTTTTTTCTTTTCTCTCTCTCATACTTAAAGTTATGGATAAGAAACCATGCATATCTCAAGATGTTGAAGTGAGGAAAGGACCATGGACCATGGAAGAAGATCTTATTCTCATGAACTACATAGCTAATCACGGAGAAGGCGTTTGGAACTCGCTTGCACGATCAGCCGGTAAAATATAAAAATATTATTATACTATAATTTTTCTGATATTGTACGTGCTTTTCGTATGAACTAATTAAATATACATGTACATGCTCAAATTTTGTATTTCTTTTGTTTTAATTTGTGTAGGGCTCAAGCGCACGGGAAAAAGTTGTCGTCTGAGGTGGCTTAACTACCTTCGACCGGACGTTAGGAGAGGAAATATTACTCCGGAGGAGCAACTTTTGATTATGGAGTTGCATGCTAAGTGGGGAAATAGGTAAATTTTTTTTCATGTTAGGGTTTTATTAGACCAAGACTAATAGGGTCCTTAACGTGGTTAAGTTTTGATTCAAGTTGCAATGTAAAGATTCCTTTTCAAGAAGTGTCATCTTGTTAAGATGGTTAATAGGATAATTTCTATATGTATGGCTCTTTGGGTGTTTTATATTTCCTCTAATTTAATTACATAAACTCTACCAACTCAATTTTTTTTATTTACTATTTTCAAGATCCCAATTACCCTTCTCATTTTTTTAAATCTCTCTCTCTCTTTTCCTTCTAAAGCACCAAGGTAAATAAAAAGAATAACTAAAAGGTGCGAATAAAAAAGTTAGGAAAATATAGATTTAAACACAAACACAAACACAAACACAAACAATTTTGCAGTGCAGTAACTAAAAGGTGCGAATAAAAAAGTTAGAAAAATCTAGATTTAAACACAAACACAAACACAAATTATTCTGCAGTGCAGTAATCGACTTCTTCATTGTGTATATTAATTCAACAATGAAAAACTCGATTGAACTTCAAACGAACTTAAAGATGGGGGTGATAGGAGTTTTCCATTTTAAGAAAAATCCCTTTTTAATATGTCACATGTTAACATCTCCAACTGTCTGAAAGGGCAGCCCTCAATTGCTGGCTACTTATTTTGAAATTGACAGCCACCATATTGTTTTGTCCTTTAATTAGTTTTTTTTTTTTTTCTAGAAGAAAAGCTTAGGCCCCACTTGCATATATACATGTACTTTAATTTACCTTTCATTAAATTAACCCCCTTTCAGTAAATTTGGATAATTTCAGTCACCTATTTTCTTCTAATCATATAAATTATAAAGTACAATAATTCATGGTGATTTTATTTTCAGAGGACAATCAGATATTATCTATTTATCAGTCTTTTCACAAGTCCAAAGGCCAAGGTTGAAAGAAACTGAACACCAAATCATGTGGCCCTTAATGGACCCATGTTGGATATCATTTTCTCTATGGCCCATCAACCCCTTTCTAAAATTCATTTATTGTCTAGGTAGGCAAGTCATCATTAATCGCAAAAATTTATAAATAATAATAATCATTCACCATTATATTTTCCGCTAAAATTCTATTAGTAGAGTTCAACACTCGTACTTGTGTACTATGCTGGTGTTAATAAAAATAAAAAATATATGACTTACTTTAAAAATACATAAAATTAATTAGCAACATAAATTGCTACGTAAATTTGAAAAACTCTCTATATAGAAATGGATTTGAGGAGAGAGTATAACCTTGAATCATCTTGATTAACCACTTGTGAATATGAGAAACCATACCATGATGCTATAATTTCCATTTTTTTTTTTCCCTCTTATCTTCTTTAAAAAAAAAAAGTAATAAAGAAAGAAAAACTAAAGAAAAAGGTTGAAATTTGTAACTAAATTTGTGTTTGGAATGGATCTAAGATATATGCTCAACATCTCAAGCATATCAACTATCAAGTGATAGGAAGACACAAAATGCAGCAAAACTTGCTTTATATATATATTGTTTTGGTGGGGGACTATCTAACATATTTGAATCACAACCATATGGAACATGTGTTTTAATTTGATCCTCAACTCCAAATTCCTCGTGGCTGCACAAATTTTAAAAGTGTCCAAAGTATTACTATTACAATATTGTGTGCCAAATATGCATTGTACAATGTATCTAGACTCACCTAAATATCAAAAGTAGTTAGGTCAAAATTAATTTCTTTACACACGTATAGGTCACATTAATAACATATTCCACCTATGGAAACAATTACATATAGATCTTACCATGTATTTAGGTATTTATATTAATTTGTACACTTATATGAATGTTGTATAGGTGGTCAAAAATCGCGAAACATCTTCCCGGAAGAACTGACAATGAAATTAAAAACTATTGGAGGACTCGAATCCAGAAGCACATTAAGCAGGCCGAGAATAATTTTGTACCAGGCCAATCAGGCGTTGATCAACACAACACTGATCAAGCCAGCACGAGCCAGATGTCGGGCTATGGGCCTACGGATCAGACGGACGAGTCCTATTTTCCAGGCCCATTTCCCACTGACCAACCAAATGAAGGCCTTTGGAGCATGGAGGATCTTTGGTCCATGAATTTGCTCAATGGAGACTAAATAAATAACTTTTTAGGTCTCCATCAAAATTCGATCTCCACCGTTGATCGTGAAACCGATAACCCTAAGTATGCATCTTTATCGTTCTCATTGTATAGATTAATTAAGTAATTGGTTTAAGTTAATTATTGATTTTCGGATACGTAGAATTATATGGTCTTGGGGTATATGAGTGTATGGTGTCGGTTTTTAATATATGATAGAAAAATCATGATTTTACGTACGTACATATGTCCAATTTTCTATGTGTGTAAACGACAAACGATGAAAAAAAAGGCATAATCCAATAGCTTTGAAAAGGATTTAACAAACCTTGTTTGGTTAGCAAAATTAGTACGCACGTATTTAAATTTAATTATGTTCGAGTGTTGATTAATTAGTGTGGTGTTAGTGACGTAATGATCCTTAGCTTAATTTGTCTTTTCACGTGTGTATCATTTTCATTTGTCTCAAAGTTCATCCATTAACCTCTTTTTCGTTGTGAGATGGAGTTTTCGTTAATACAAAGGTAGTGTCTTAATCAAACGTGAATTCCTTTTTGTTGTCCCTATCTAATTTCACGATCAGATAAAGGTCTTGTAAAGGAATGTGAATATACTCTTGGATGGACGTCTTATTCAAGATAAGAGAAGTAGAGTGGTAAAAGAGTCAAGTCAGCTGAGTTCGATCGAGCCAAAAAAACGAGCACAAACTCGTTCATTTATCACAATTAAAGATTTGAACTCGAGTTTCAACGAGTCGTCCTAAGATAATATTTTAAAAAAATCACATAAAAAATCTTATTTCATGTGCCTAGCAAGCTTGTTCGATAACTAAACGAACTTGAAATCAACTCATTTGATAATGTATTGAGACGAACTGAAGCATTAACGAATTTTACCAAGCCAAAGAATAACTCGATTTGATTTAAAGCTCTAAAGATCAAGAGATGATAATTTGACACGTGGAAAGTTGGTATAACCATTTTTGGCAAATTTAAGCGTCCACTTTCTATATCAGAGCTATTTTTGTTCATGGCCGTCTCCATTTGGAGTTTGACTGCGGCCTAACTCTTACGTGCTTATGGGGAAATTTGCATGTGCTCCATTTTTATTCATTTATTTTAAGTTATATTTCTATTTTCTTATTTTAAAATAGTTTAATATTTTCTTAACAAGTTCAATTTATTGCCGTCATTGAATTTTTTAATCGATAGATCAACGTATCAATAAATTCTTTTATCATTATATACCAAAACACATATACTGGTGTGTGTTGATCAGTAGTGTTAAATTAAATGAATCTGGTTTAGCTCCGCTCGAGCTCGACTCGTAAAGACTCGAGTTCAGCTTGGCTCGTTCTCGAGCCATTTAAAACTCATTTGGTTAGTGATCCGAGCCAATGGACTCGTTAAGGCTCGAAAAAAAATTATATAATTTTTTATAGCTTGACTCGTTAAAGCTCGAGATCGGCTCTTTAATGCTCGAACTCAGCTCGTTACTAGTCATAAACGAGCCGAACTCGAGCTCTATTTTAGGCTCGTTTATTTAATGAACCCAGCTCGGCTCGACACCCTAAGCTCGAGCTCTAACTCGACTCTGCTCATTTACAGGCTTAGTGTTGATTTAACGTTAAAAAATCAATAATTGCTTAAACGAGGTGGGGAAGAGATTATTTGATTGGCTTTTATTTCATAAGGATGAAGTCATTTGATAGGAATGTTAATTCTTGCATATAACACATATTTAAAACTGATAGATGGATCAAAATTTTCAATCCAACAACCTCGTCTCAAATCACGAGCCCAATCAACCTATAAAATAGCGAAGTGTTCACTTGGTATAGCAGCATAGAGCTATAGACACTCTGATGTTTAAGTCAATTTTAAAATTGATGATATTTTCCTTAATTATCATGATAATCAAGATTATATATATATGTGAATCAACTGAATTTTTTTTATCTGGACAATAATTTCTAAATACCTTAATCGTTTTTCGAGCTAATTTAATTTATGAACTTTTATGTAATATGGCCACTAAACCAGACTAGTTTTTTATGCCACGTCACAATAATTAATTAATTATAATATTGTACCCACTTGTTCCGGGTGTAAAATCAGTAGAAAGCACATAATATGTACCATGTGAAGTGTAAATATCAATCATGGCGGGTCGGAAATTTTGGAATGAAAAATAATCATATTACCGAAAATAAGTCAAATTGCAGAAGTTGATAGGGTGAAAAAGTGAGGGGATAACAACACTATACAGTTGGCGGACTACTTTGGGCCAATTGAAATGGGTCATCTCTATGGGCTTTTTCCAATTAGGCGGACTTTGATTGTTCACTGTAGGATTAGCCAGAAAGTCCAAATGGGCCAGCAAGAGTAATTCTTGTCCCCTTTACCTGACATAGGTATACGAATAGTGGTGTTAACGAAATGCATATTCCTGAACAAAAACTCATTTCAGCCAGTTCTCATTTGATAAGAGCACATCCATTTGTTAATTGAGACTAGTTCAGATATAAAACTATACTCGTTTAATTACCGAGCAGATGAAAACTTTTTCGCAAACAACCAATATTGTTCGCGAATATTAATTTAGTATTTTTTTATATTTAAATTTATATTCATGATAATTTAATATAAACAATTTATAATATTAAAATATTTTTATTTTTTTTTTCTAATTTGAACGAGCAAATGTTGAATTTATGAAACAATTACATAAACTTTATTTTATAAATCATTTAAATACAAATGAACTCGAATTTTGACAAACAAATAATTTTTGGCTCGAGTATTAAACGGAGGAATATGAATCACATTTCAAACTCAGCTTTTATATTCTTCATTATTTTACCCTGGTACAAGATATTATATTTTCATTATATTCGTAAAATAATACCCAGCCAATATAAAACAAGTTTATAAGATAAAGTCCAGACGGAATCCTTGCCACGTCAGAATCATCTCCCTCGCAGCTTCACACACCGAAGCGTGAACTGACACCTGTCAGTTACCCGCCTGCAATTTTTCACCTTTCTGTTTTTTCATTTACTCTCCACTAAACCGCACTCGCTCTCTCTAAGAGCTACGTAAGCATAATCACTGCGGTTGTAGAGCACGCGCAAGCGGTGAAAAAACGGAAATATGTACGTCTGTAGGTACTCTGAAAAAGTTTTTTAAGAAATTCAAAAACAAACAGATGCGAAACGCCACCGGCTGGAAAAAGCAGCTGTTGAGCTCGGCATTTATTTCTAGTACTAAAATAGCCTTTTGCTTTGAAAAAATTCACTGTCGTTTTGTAGCTGGAAAATGAAAATCCTTTTCATTCCTCAAACCCTATCACTGTAAAAATGCTATCGGTTCCCTTGTCAGCTGCCTCCACGTAAAGATTTGAAGAGGACGTTTTCTCGGAATCACGGCGTGGATTAATAGTTGGTAAGAACCATTTCTTTTTTATTGTTCAGGTATTTGGTTTTGTTTTCATTTGTTGCGTTTTAGCTTTGGAAATCGTGTGGGTCTGGTTCGCTTTGGAAAGAAATGATGTGTTCTTGGTGAAACATTTTTGCTTGCGAGTATGTGTTTTTTTTTTTTTCCTTTTTTTTTCACTTGTTTTCTTCATGGGGTTTTAGGATGGATAAACCTTAAGAATTTTTTCAATTTATATTACTTTTTTTTTATTGTTTTGTATTCGGTTTTAAGTTTCCTTCTTGTCTTGGTGTTCGTGTTCAACAGTTGTGGCTATCCGAGTGTCTGGGGATAATCGTTGAAGGAGCCAAAAGATAAAAAAAAATCAGGATTCATTTTTGTTTTCTGTAGAAAAAATGGCAAGTCTTGAAGTGGATGAGAATGGAGTAAGGTTTTCTGCTAATGGTGTTGCTTTAACCAAGAAAGTTGTTGAGACTGAAACTGTGGTAGAGTCTGCTATTGATACCACCCCTGGTCTTGTTAATATGGAGAAAAAAGAAAATGGTGTGTGTGTTGAAGATTTTTTCATGGGGTCTCCAGTTAATCTGAACGGTGTTATGAACAACACTGAAAATTCGAAAGAAGGTATGAAAAAGTGTTCTGCTGAATCTAATCTTCATGCAAATGTGAAAAAACAGAGGAACAATAATGCCGAAAAAAATCGTCGTGACTTTCGTGTGGGCGATTTCGTGTGGGGTAAAATCAAGAGCCATCCATGGTGGCCTGGCCAGATATACTCTCCAAGCGATGCCTCGGAAATTGCCGTCAAACATAGCCAAGAGTCTCGTTTGCTGGTGGCCTTCTTTGGCGATGGCTCCTGTTCTTGGTGCTTGCCTTCCCAGCTCGTGCCCTTTGTTGAAAATTTCAAACGATTGTCAACTGAAAGCTCGACTAAAATCTTCCATAACGCGATACATTGTGCTTTGAACGATGTGGGAAGGCTCGTTGAGCTCAGCATGACTTGCGATTGTGTGCCTTTGGATAAAAGAGATGGGCTCGCTCGACCCATTGTGTCTAATGCTGGGGTTAAGAAAGGTGTTCTTGTGCCGAATGTCGACATTGGCCGAATTCATGTGCCCGATTATGGGTCAACTCAAATTCTTGATAAATTGATGAGTTTTGCTAAGTGTGATTTGTTTGACTCGTTTTTGGAGCTTGCAGTCTTGAAAAGTTGGCTTTCCGCATTTTATCGTTCAAGGGGTTGTCACAATTTGCCCGTTTATTATGAGCCCGTTTGGATTGAAGGGCTCGAGGATAAGAACAAATCCGTGAAGGACCCATCTGGTGAAGATTTTAGTGTCCTCATCGAGGTGCCTATTCTGGGCCCACAGAAGAGTGTTGCAAAGCTTATGGGAAAGAGAGCCAAAGAGAGCATTTGGGATGGAGGTAAAAGTGAGGATAGAGTGAAAATGGGTTCTTTACCTGGAAAATTAAAGGAAATCGAAGTTGGAGCTGGTGAGAGTATTTCGTGTGATGAAATTCGAATGATATCTTCGCCGAGGGAAAGGAAGAAGAGCAAGTATCTGTCTCCTCCTTATACGAATCCCAGCTGCTTTAGTCTTGCAAATTTCGGGTCTAATGTGAAATCGGGATCTGATAAATCTAACAAGAGAGAGCATTCTAAAAAAGCCATAACTGGGGGAAAGAAAAGAAAAACGTCGAAAAATCAAGAAAATGGTGTCACCCCAAAAAAGGCAAAATCAGCTGATGGCACGGAAATGCCCAAAGCAGTGAAGAACTTGGAAGGAAGTGCCTCTACGTGCCTGCTTGTGACGTTCACTCCTGAATTTCCACTTCCCAAAAAGGAAGAAATCGTGAGGCTCTTTGGTAAATTCGGCAGACTTAACGAAAATGAAACTAACGTGTTGACCGAGTCTCATGCAGTTCGTATCGTCTACACAAAGGAATATGATGCTGAAATAGCGTTTATATTATCTGTTAGAGAAAGCCCATTTGACTTAGACAATGTTAGTTACTGGTTGAAGCATTCTTCTTCGGGCGGCACAAATTCCGAGCCCTTTATTTCTCCGTGGGCTTATGATAAATCGTGCTCTTCTCAACAGGTGGATGAATTTATGGTGGATGTAAGGGCTATCAGGCAAAAACTCGAGATAATGAGTGCTATTCTGGAAAACTATCATCCCAAATTTCCGAGTGAGGAAAAATCCGGTTTGAAAGATGACGTGAAGCAGCTGATGGAGAATGTGGAGACGGTGAGTGATAAGGTACGATTGATGGCTGAGAATACCATTACCACTTCTTGAAGAATGTTCGGAAGTATTAAAAATG